AATGTTTTAGATAAACAACGTGTAATTGATTTGTAAATTGTCTTTAGTGGTTCAACTATATCTAACACTTAAATATATGAGTTTTCAACTATCTCGTAGATCATAATTACGCAGAGTGGTCGTCATAATCATCGATCATAATTATATTGGTATTGGCTTTGATCAGGGCATATCATAATTATATAATCGGATAGGGTATGATTCTGCGTGGAAAACTAAGTCTAAGAAAGAAGGATGATAAAAAAAATACATAAAAAAATTTTATACCAAATTCTTTGATATACTTAAAAAAAAAAAAAAAAAAATTTATTTTCATCTTTGCACTCGTATAGTTTTTGTTAAATAGCTCGAGATGTGCTGTGGTTTCTCGCACTGTAGAAAGTTCTTCTAGTGTGTACAACGATACGGTTTCTGATTTCAAAAATTTTCCTTTGTTGTTATTGTAAATGTTGAACGTGATAAGAGATTATGCAATGCATAATGTCGTTGCTGCCAACAGCAATTGCACTGATTGCGTTTCAATGGTTTATAGTAAATACATCTTGGATAAGCAGATTAGATAACTGTCGCCGACCTGTTTTGTTGTATCAATATACACGTTCTCGCTTCCTTTGTTTAATGTTTCCCTTATCGGTTTTTTTTTTTTTTTTTAACGAGAACGATGTAATCATACAGTCGTTTACGAAATTGTTCATGTAATTTATATTTTAAGTTATTAAAATATTTTAACTTTGGCGTGACAACATTTGCAAATTGCTGTAACAAGCCGTTTACTTTTGACAATTCTAAGTAAAATGTTTTTACATCGAGTGGAAAGGCAAAGACACTTCTGTCCTCAAATGTGGTCCTGAAAGTTCAAACGTGAAATTTGAGAAACGATGTAAGAATTGTTCACGTGGCCAGATTCTCGGTTTTGAAGATTGAAGTCTACTTTTTTTGCAACGAGTTTTTAAAACTTGTACGATTGTTTCTCCCCGGCCTTTTTATTGGACTTTGAATATTGGATTGTCCAAAAAAGTAACTGCATTCTCTCTTTCATTTACAAATAAAATTCGTCTATTTCGTACGATTACCTTTTATTATTTTGCAGCAAACTTCATGATTCTGGGTTCAAAGAAGTTCTTATCTTTTTCGACAAAAGAAAAAAAAAAAAA